CCGTGCTGCCCTGCCCTGCCTGCGCTGCCCGTGCTGCCCTGCCCTGCCTGCCCTGCCTGCCCATTCAGTTCCCGACAGTCCCACTGCCAGCAAGACCAAAAATTTATCTGGTCCAAATAGTTTCTGAGCTCTTCAATACACACAAAAACCTTCAGAATTGTTTACAACTCCTGGAAGAAATGGTGAACTTGTGCTTCAGGACTTAAGCCTCTCAGTAAACATGAAAATTAAAGGGATCAAACCGAGGGTGAGGAACAATATTTATCACCTCTCCACCTCTGAAGCAACTGAGGCCAGCTCTTGCCAGCAGCAGGACTGACCTGCGCTGCAGACCTGGCAGACAGCAAGCTACATCCTGAAACCACTGCAGAAAATACGATACCAGCTCTGTGAGAATCGCCAGGACGCTAACGGCTGTGCAGCTCCCAGGAGAGTAATATCAGAACATGATCCTGTCAGAAATTCCTTTAAAAGGGCTGTTTGACATAAGCTTCTAATCAAATAAGAAATAAGTCTGATGTCTCTCACCACACACGCCAGTGTATTTGTGCTGTTACTTGTATCGCTCGCCGAACTGAACTGAGATGACAAATGACACATCTTCAAAAAAGATGCATGTTTTCTGCTTGTATAAAATAGAATATAACAAGATGAGCTGGGACAGTTCCCCCTCTAGCTCACAAATGCTATTCAAAATCTTAAAAATGGCCACACTGCCTACAAAACCAGACAGCACAAATACCCTACTCGGATCTCATCCGCCCTGTTCCAACCCTGGCATTTTCCAAGCGCTAAGCCTGAGCGCATCCAAACAACAGACTGCTGTTCAAAGGAAGCTCATATTGCACTCGCATCAGAGACTAAAACACATCCTCCTTATCCCATACAGCTGTTTAACGCTATATATAGTCTGAGTTTAATTCTATAAAATTGCTGCCAAACACCTAAATTGATATGAACTCCAGCAAAACATTAACACTTTCTTACTAATTCATTCTACCCCTACCTATCATCTCCAAAAAGAAATCGGATTTTGAAATTAAATCCAATAAAAATATAAAAGTCTCAGTGTATAGGAGGAAAAGAACAAATTCAAAACAAAAGATAAATTAATAATCCATTTACTTACTAAGAATCTCAGGTATTTCCAATTTTTTGACTAAAAGCCCCGGAGTCTAATTTGGAGGCACTCATTAAAATGCGAAGTCAATAACAACCCAAAACGTTTTTCAGAACAGGGTTAGTAAACCAGGAATTATCAAAGAATTTCAACACAAATTTACATCCTGGCTGGATACTTCCAGAGCATAGCAACACATTTCTGGTTTTCATTAAATTTCCTTTTTCTGCATTAATCTTGATTTATAGAAGATAAATTCTTCCAGCTCCAGTTTTCCCAAATATTCAAACCAGCCGTACTCCTACCCTGCGAACTAAGAGAAGGACAAACGCATACAAATAGTTTGTGACGGTAACAGCTTACCAATTCTAACTCACCTGATTTGGGATTTAGAGAATCACACTGAGCATTATACATGTGCACAAATTCTTGGTGTCTTTTAATGAGCTGCTGCCGGGTGCCGTGGGTAGACAGACCATGTTCCTTCAGTTTCTTCTTCAAATCACGATCGGAGAGCAAGTTGTAAACAACTTTAGACATAGGCTTCCTTTTGTGAGAAGAACTGCAAAAGGAAAAGGAAACAAACAGGTTTTAATTAAAACTCCTACGAAAATCAAAATACTGACTTACATTTTTACAGGGTATTTCACCCACTCTGGGTAAGAAATACCTGAAAGAATCATTTCAGCCATGACACACACACAACCAGTTACAGAGTTTATCACCGATGCAACAGCAACAGCCCTAGGAAGCCAGAACGCTTTTTCCATCTACCACTAAGAAAATTTCAAACGTGCAGAAAGCAATAGTCTGATTTTCTTTAGGAAATGATGCAAACGCTGCTCATGTATCAAGTACTGCGGCTCCGTTTGTAGTACCTACAGCAAAGGCTTCAGAATCGCATCAGCGCACGCAGCACTGTTCGTCTCATGAGGATCGAGCTTCCATTCACTCTGCGTTCAAAAGGAAGCGTACTGGATTCAGACTGCTGAAACACGGGTTTTCCACCCAAGTACTGGCCATGTCTTACCTGAATCGGTGAATTTTTAAAAGCATTAAAACTGCAAGCCAAAACTTGAATTAGGAGATTTTTCAGCTTTCTGGGAAAATTACTTTGAGAAAGATACAGTCATGTACCTGAAAGCAAACCTGGAGTTCCCACCTAGCAGAAGGGTAGTTTGGTAATACAGAAAGCGACATTAAAGAGAACTGATAGCGCGCTCGGATAATAATACCGAAACCCAAAATTTACTCCTTCACACTGTCTTAGGTCAGAAGAACTCAATGTTCCTGGTGTAACTAGAGAAAACATCTTAATTACAGGAAACTACCATAGAAGATCCAAGTCCTACTGCAACTTTTGTCATCCAAAATTGTCAGAACAGTTTCCTTCTGCACAAATTAGCTCAGTCTTCCCTCCACCTCCTGGTGAAATACTCAAACTAACCAACAAAGGTACTGAAATCCATCTACTGCCTCACTCTTCTTCAACTTAAATAATTTATTAGTTAGAGAAGAACAGCATTTAGTTAGAGACACTTTTCTTCCTGCAGCAAAACAAAGTTCAGCTGCACTGCTCTGAATTACAGAAACGTTAACAGCTTCCCTTTGCGAAAGCAAGAGATTTGTTTGAAAAATGTATTCAGCACTTTCAATTTAGCACGTTGAAAATAAACTTCAAAGTTTAAAAAAAAAAAAAAAGGCTTACACAAAAATTGTCATTCAGTCATTTACTCTCATATAGCCCCTGAGCATAGCTGGCAAAAAAAGATGCATTACCACAACACACTTTTCAGATTCTTTTGGGCAATATAAAAAATTTTATTGAATAATTAAATCTTTTGAAAGCCCTGAAAGAGCTTTGTATCATGACCTAGAAAAGCGATGACAGCTTTGCAAGCAGCTACACGAAACAGCTCACAACAGTTCTGAATCTTAACGTTGGTGGGGTTTTTTCCCATCCTTGCGAAATGCAGTGTTCTTTGTGAACGTACACTTACCTGTTGTAATTACTCCTGTGCAGGTTTTGGGGACTAAATTATCAGTTCCGCTGAAATACTGCTCAACTGTTAACATAGCATGCCATGTGCTCCTAATTTGAGAATAAACAGAGCTAAAATTTCTCAGAGAAGAACTAGAGATGTGCTGTTACTGAAACCCAAACAACACTGCCATAAAATAAATACATTGCCAAAAGCCAGCATTTAATACACAATAGCCAGTCCCTAAGGAGAAATATCGTGCATGGTACTTTCTTAAGATCCAAGCAGTCTAGATAAAATAAGCAAAGTTTAGAATCTTGCTAGGGACATCGGCTTGACACCAAAGAAAGATCCGGCTTTTATTTCCATTCATTAAGAACAGAGAAAACACTAAAAACATTCCAAATGAAAATTAAAATGTAACATCAGATTTCAATATTAATTTACCATATATTCATCTTCAAAGTCCTTTAGCTTATAGATTGCATTCGAAGCATGACTGGGCAAAATAAGAGCTTTAACATAAAATTACTTTCTAATTCAAGGTTCAGAGGAATTTGAAATACAAGCATGCAGTAAAACCGCACGCACTAAAAGTCCCCTAGAAGTTTTTAAGTCTGATCAGTTAGAAATAGTAATGGCCTAAATTTATGCTAGTCAGTAAAACAACCCAAAATCTACACTTCTGATGTGAATGTGGCAACCGTGACAAATTCTAGGGCGGAGGCATAACGTCAAAGGCATGCGTTAATCTTATGGAAATTGAGACCTTAAAAAAACCAACCTTGACTGGGGCAACTTTAAAAGAACCACAGTGAGCAGAGTAAGGTGCAATTTTTATTTTTTAACTTGACAGCTAGTGAAGCAGTTGTCTTTTGGCCCACCTGAACTGGGGAAAGCAATTCATTCATCAAGTGAAAAATGGGAATAAGTGTTATCTGAATAGAATTTTAATCAGGAATGTGACGAGAATAATGTACAGACCAAGTTTCACTCCCTGTGTTGAATTCCTTAAAACACTGTCCAGTGTCTTCTTGCTACTAAAAGCCAAGAACTAATTCTGCTGGCAACCCACATACTTTCTTGAGAGGGGAAAATCACCACTATCATATCTGTACAGTGATTTTAGAGTGAGCGATACAGCAGGTAACCAAGAAACAAACACAATCAACTGCATTATAACCTATCAGCTAATATTTCTTATCTCAGCAGTGCAGAAAAAATGGCTAAATGCATATAAAAGTCCTTAAAGTTGCTTCTTACCTTCTGAGGCTGTCCTTCTTCTCTTCTCTTGTCAAGCAGCTATCCAGATGTTTGTTTATATATTGCTCTGGAATAGCAACCTCACAAACAGGACAATCCACTGAAAGCAAGGGAGAAGGAATTTACTAGCATGCATAGTACAGCAAAGAGCAGATGTTTTCATCTGAAACACTAATTGCTGATTGAAGAAAATGAAAATCCAGAATTCCAGATTTCTTGTTTTAAAACATCTGGCATGTCTATCCAGAATCGTCATTTTTGGCTCTCATTTTCCTTCCAGAACACTTATTTCCCTCTCTATGTAATATCAGAATGGCTCTCATCTTCCCTGCAGTCAGATGGAATGAAAGCGCTACAAAAAATATAGAATAACATACATACTATGCGGAAACCTAGCAGCCAAGATAAACATAAGCATATTTCTGTGCTAATGTCTTTCACTTTTGCAGTATTTCACTCCTAAATAAAGGAAGCTGCTTCATTTTGATAAAACAGTATAGCACAAACTTTATTCCTCTTAACATAGCGTTCCCAGTCTATGGCTCTCAACAGGACTGTCAATACACGAGTTAACTCAGCCTCACAGGAATCCTATGATCCGACCATGCCTCATGCTCATTTCTTAGTACAGATAACTAGATTTTGTGACGTGGGCTCACAAACACCCATACCATGGTCCCACCCAACTCAGAACTCTTCTTGCATCATATTTTCAAGAAGCACCTATAAACATTGCCTGGAAAGACTGTCAAAAAACACAGACTTAAAACATGTCTTTAGCAATCACATTATGTCAAAAACAAAAGGCTAACTTTAAATGAACAGCATGAGAAGGAGATTCTTTAACTGACATCCTCTGTATTAGTGTGAAGGAAGTCGGTTTTGATTTAAAAGACAAAACAAAAAACAACCTACAAAAAACGCTGCGAAATGTTGTGGGAATTGAGAGAGTTATCTGGTAACACCACTTTGCAATTCCTGACTCCCATGACATCATATTCCAGTCAAAGGTTAAAAAAAAAAAAAAGTTGGGACAGTAACAACACAATAGTTCTGAGTAGTCTATTATTGTATTTGAAGTTAACACTTCAATTCTTAACACAGGAACAAATAATACTTATTAAAACCACTGCAGCATTGCCTCATTTCAAGTCTTTCATTTATATTGTTTGACCAACATTTGTGGAAATAATTTCAATGTAATGCATGCTTGAGGATTTAATAAGGTCATAAAATGGTAAGCAAGTGGAAATTTCAGTTGCTCGAGAATAAATGAGCAGTAAAATTTCATGAGAGTTTTAAATTGCTAACACAAGCAAGTCTGATGCATAAAACTAGGAAGCATAACTTCTGGCTGAGTTGATGCCATTTTCATATGGCTGCTTGTCTGGCTGTATTACATCTTTAAGCAGTATTTACCCAGCTAATGAATAAATATGAACTTCAGAGTTCCAGCTGAATAAATTGTTAAACAAAAGAACAGATAAATATGAAGTACTAAGAGTCCGTGTTGTACTTCTACATGGTCTTTTATTTTAATTTAGGCTTTTAATTGGGTCAATAGGATGGTTGCCATGATGTCAAAACTAAGAGGACTCTCTCATTTTATTGTAGTTGATTAGTATAAATGGGCATTTTCATGCTTCAAAATAAATGAATCTTAACACTGTAGAATTACAGAAAAATAAAGCTGATTACTTTCTTCTGGAGAGTGTATGAATAGGAATATTAACAAAACTGAAACCACAATCATTTTGATTGTGGGTGCACCCCTCAAATAACAAACACATTATAAAATACCTTGCTTCTGATTACTTAAGGATACCAGAGCAGAATGAATGTCAACGTTGTCTGTCTAGTCCTTAAGGGGAAGGAGTAGAGGAAATTACTTCATTTTTTACGGGTTTGCAACTATTGTTTTTTTAGAGCTGTTATTCAAAGCAAAGGAATCTGTAAGGGTTGAACTTCATTTAATTACTTGGCATCAGCCCAAACTTCCTCATCAAGACTATGCTTGTAGCAGAGCTGTCCCACATAAGCGGTAATCTGAATGAAGCACAGGCCAGTTCAACGGGAAGCATCTGAACGTGCCAGTGCCATCAGAACAATGCCAAGAAATGAGATGAATGCCAGGTACTGAAGGTGCTGTAATGCATACAGCCAACCGCAACCACTTGGACTTGGGGAAGCAAACAGTTATTTAGAAAACAAAAATTTAGCATCTCACCTTTCTTGACTACTTTTCCCACAGATGTAGAAGGCTTTTCATGATTTCTGGTGCACTCAGGACTCCCTTGTGATCCCACTTCATTGTCTTTACCATCAACCTCTGCAGAACTGCTGTAAAGGTTATGGTGTTCCTCAGTTTTGAAAATCTTCTGCTCTGTTCCTGCCAGGCCGTCTGCCTTTGTTGAGGTGCAAACTTTTTCCTTTCTCAAGAAACTGTCCATCACTGGCACCTCTTCTTTTAAAACTGGCCAAGAAACAGAACTCCTAACATGGCTTTTGGTGGCTGAATACCTGCTACAGGCCAACGGAGATGAAGTCAGTGGAGCATCCAAGACCAACCGGAACAGCTGTTCTCTAGAAGCATCCAGAAGACAACATGCAGTTAGCTACACTGACCAGTATTAGCTTTTTCTTTGAGGAAAAAAAAACAGAATGAAAACAGATGGAGCTTTTCCTCCATTCCTTCCTCCCTCCCCCTTGCAGCACTTGGGAATTGGCTAGCCCACACAAACCAGGAGCACGCCAGCTGAGCCTCTCCATGCTCTACAGAATCAAAGAATTATCTTCCTGATTTGCAAACAAAACAAATTATATTTTGCAAATGTAGTAAAATGCCTCTCAAAACATTACATGGAACACAGTAAAGAACAAAAAGTTTTCCCCCTTACTTGAAGATGGTAGATGACCACTTCAAGCACTGTACCACCTGTGGCAGAGGCTCCCGAGACCAAAGAGCTTAGCAGAAAGCACTGCCGTATTCCTTCTGTCCCTCCTTGCTGTGGGTCTCAGCACAGCTGCTCACGGCCCGCCCAGCTGAACAGAACCCCACCAAGAGATAACTGCATGCTTGTCAGCTCTTGAGATGTAGCGTCAGCTAACGCAAACCACTGCTGGCATGTTTCATCGATGATCAGCTGAAGAGCACAAACCCTCGGTTCTTTTCTCATATAAAATAAGGGAAAAACACAGCTGCCCTCGAGAACAGCCCACTTCAATCTCCACCAGAATGCTCACCACCCATCCACGCGTGCTTTACCCCCCACCTGCACTCCCAACCTTCCTCAGGGCTAGCAAATGTCAAGCTGCGCGTTAAATAGAAGTCTCTTTTCAAAGAAATGAACTTGTAATTTATCAGTAGGAACGCAGAAGAGGCAGAAGGCTCGCTCTCCTGTCTGTCTCATTATAATTCTTCATATTACCTCAAAGCAAAAAGCCCCAAAGTTACAGTTGTTGTAACTCAGGCAATTGCAAACAATCTTAAAAGACATGTTTTATTCCTACCCCCATCCCAGGTGTTTTTGCAGAATCCTGTTTATTTTACCATGTATTTTATACAGATCGATCTAAGATAAATTAAGCCAGAGACTGCGTTCTTGGCATAGCAATGCAGCTGCGCAGACTGCCCACGTCCCTCGTGGTTCCCTTTCACTCCTGTATCATCACAGGTGGAGGGATGGGTTTCCCAACTAACGCCAACGATGGACAAACCACGCCCCACTCTTACCCGCCACTACTTTGAGAAGAGCCCTTCGCATCCTGAAGGTCACAACAAAGTTGGTATCATCCAGCCAAAAGCGCCCAGCAGAAGTACACATGCAGCCATTAACCCATTCCTCTTTAATGCACTGCTCCATCATCCCTTGGCAACCTGCACACCACTCACTTGAGCTCTCCAAGAGTGCAAAGCCTGCACAGCTGCCCAGGTGTTCATTTGCTTCCTCCCTGACTTGCTGCCATTCTCACAACCACCACCTGCCAGGCCCCAGCCTGCTGCATCCTCAGAAGTCCTACCCAAAAAAAAGGCAATTACAAAAGAAGTTTCACCATCTGCAAGCTCTGACAAACTGGGACAGCTTACAAAAAATGGAAAATCTTAAAGGAGGTGAAGCATCTCTCTAACAACGAATGGAGGAGATGGATTGAGCTTAGAGATACTCTGTCCCCACTTGCTAAGTGGGGTAGGGAGGATCTCCCCTTCACTTCTCTTTATAGCAGGATAATACAAGAGGGAAGGATGGGAGCGGGATAGCTTTTGAGGATGGTGAGGAGTCTAAGAGCCCCTACACCAAAAGGCACGGTATACCCCACGAGCCCCTGTGCCTCCACCGCCCCAATCCGTGCTGCGCTGAAGACAGTCACTGTTTCACTACCTGGAAAACTTTTTCAGTCTTTTAAGATAAAGATTTTTCATGTCTGAGAAGGACAACTAATTAAGAACTGTCTGTATATATCAACTTGTTTTTAAAAGATACGTAAATCACCAGGTGACCCCACAGTTATACTAGTTTAAGTTAGGCTCCTGCGGAACAACCAGCTCAGCACACCGAATGCTCTGCACTGGTTATATTCCAGCCAGATTCAGCAGCCCGATTTGGAGTTTAAGTTTCCTGGATTACTGGATGTAATGACCACATCTGTCAGTGGCAATTCACATCTGTCCCAAGACACTCTAACTTTCCGCAGTGCAAACAAGTGCAATTAAGTGTGGCAGCAAAACTATGTTTTTCTGTCTGCTTATGCCTAGATATGGACTGGAAGTTTTTAAGGAGGTTAATTCCCCAGCCGACACAGACACACAGTGATGTAGCTACCGTTGGCGTAGGATCAACTTCACAGGGAACTCGGGAGCTGGTTAATGGGAACATAAACAGCGTGCCTTCACGCAGCCCGGTCCCGCTCCTGCTTCCCACCTGCTGTTTGCACGGAGTGTATTTCATCCACAAGCACCAGAAAGGTCTGACAGCGTGCTCTGCTCAACATGGCAACATAATTGGCAAAGTTCTCATTTTACTGCAGATAAATGCACAGTACTCTTCAACTTAAACGTTATGAACTGCAGCCTCAGAAGACCTGTCACATCACAGATGGTTATATTCTACAGTCAGGTTCAAAAGCAAACAAATTAGTTGCCTTTTATTCCTAATACACTTCAGCAAAATTTAATCCTGAAAAGGATGCAGCTGGGTGTTTGACCAAAGATGTACTTTTTTTTTTTTTCCCCTTTTTGAACAGGGAATTTATCTTTGGGTTACCTAAAAAAGTGTCTATTTGTTCAGGCTCCCCCAGGTTTTCAAACAGGCAGCCTGCCATTAAAGTAGCTAATCAAAGTCAACACACAGTCTTATCATATTATTCTTTTGGTTGTTAAGCAACCATTTTTACACAAAAGCCCAGCATCCGATGCTACAGCAAGCTAAATTCTACATGGCTCAGAAAACGCAAAACAGGTCCGTAAATGCAATCATTTGGCATCATATCACAGTGTAGTTTTCCAATAAAATAAAGAACAATACAGCCCCAAAAGGCAAAAATATCTGAACTATTAGGCAGTTGCCTATATTCATTATCTTCATCTAGAGAACGCAACTAATGTCCCTCATCTTTTCAGTGTATTTTCCATTGCTTTTGAGAGCTCCTCCTCTTGTCAAAGTAACACATTCTACTATTTGTAACCACCAGTTATGTCTGTTTATTTTTCCACAACACGTATTCACTAGCTAAAATGGATTTCCCAATGTGTTCACACTAGTTGACAACACTCCTAAAAGTCAAACGTCACATCAGTTTATCTTTTCACCAGACTTAAGAGTGATCCGTGTATCTTTTTCTCAGCATTTCTTTCTCGGGAGGTATCACAATAGTACAGCTTATAGCACCTCGAATTCTCCAAAGCAGAGACTTCCGTAGTCTGATTAGTCGCTGCGGAAGGCTGCCAGGCCAAAACGCGCCTTTGGAGGTGGGGCTGGACCCGCGACGGACCGCAACGCCAAGCAGGGGGCAGCTGCGCAGTTCCGATGCGCGCTGATGGTGGAGCTGGAGGGAGGAAGGCTGCTCCGTGGCCAGCACAAGCAGACGGCAGACACACAGCAAAAGGCTCAGAGCGCAACGCTCGGCATTTTTGCAATGAGTCCTGTACGAAAGGATGGGCTTCTGAACTCAAGAGAGCTGCTCCAGAGCTGACAAGGCAGACTACCCAAATAAAAGACCATCTCATTTCAAATGCAACTTGTTAATATTTGCATGAAGGCAGCCAAAATAGAGAAATCTTCTGAACAGCAGTTTCAGATTCTGTAATAACAGTTGTCTCAATAAAATATGGTCCGGTATAAAACAGAGAGAAACTGGAAAAACAATACAAAAACTAAAACATATCCTCACAATCAGTTGATAATAAGGGTTGCTTTAATTATACCATTGGTCTATAAATAATCATACAGTTTTTTTCTCATATTGAAGGGTAAAGACTTATGAATAGACTTTCCAAAGGGATCCAATTTTGGCACAGAATCCATGGAAAGGACACTAGGACGAGAATATGAAAATTTGTTTGCCAAAACACACATGAAATCTCTGTATGCCTTTTTTTTTTTTTTTTTTGGGGGGAAAATACAGAAAATGCTAGTACTAAATTCAAAAGAGGGAAGAAAAGTCCCAGACTGGCTTTTCTCATGTCCTGGTTCCGGCTGGGATAGAGTTCATTTTCTTCCCA